TTAGCACTGGCCAACAGCAAGTCATTGAGAGCTTAGCTGTCAGGGATTAGCATGTGTATTATAATGTATGTGAGGGAAGAAAGAGTGTCTATAGAGCAGTCAAACAGTTATAGATATTTCATGTTTCCTCAAGTTAGTTACAGTTCAGTTTCTCTGGTATCATCATAAACCTACCATCCTTCCTTTACTTTATACACATATACAAAATGAGCATCTTTTGTTGCATAAAAGTCATGTATATTTAAAAAAGGGCCATCATATGGAACACTTGTTCTACAAAGCAAAATGTAAGAATGTTGCATTCAAAATATGCTAAATATATTAATTGCTTTATTTTATATACAGCGCAGCGGAATAAAAATAAACCAAGAATAAACTGGAATAAACGAACAAGCCACAACAGAGTACTGGGAAACACCCATACACACACATTACACACACGGGGACAACATAAACAATTCTACACAGAAATGCTAACCGGCCCAGCCAGGACTGAAATAGTGTTTGATTAGGGTTGGAGGTAAACTCTCCAGGACACTGGCTCTCCAAGACCAAGTTTGGACACCCCTGGATTAGCTATGGGCGTACTCACACTATGCCATCCGAACCATGCGTAGGCCCATTTTCCAGATTGTTTAAGTATGAGGGCTCTGAATCGGGCTCAGACGCGATTTACTTGGCTGGCCCATATTTTGTCCTAGTATGGAAGTTAATGCTTACTGGTTTTAAGCTTTCTTTGAAATATCATTTGTGTTCAATAGAAAGTAAACCATAAAGGTTTGGACTACTTGAGTAAATGAGTAAGTAATGAGTACATTTTCAGCTTTAAGTGAACTACAAGCAGTGACGAGGTCAAATTGGTTTTTGACGTAGCGCCAGTACTACAAAAAAACATGAAAGCAGAAGCCATGGCATAAGTTGTGATGCCCAAAAGATCCACAGCATTACTGATAAATTGAGAACAAAATGTTTACATATTTATATAGTATTTTCATTGCCTAATTGCTAAACATGATTACTGTCCTGGGGCGGCACGGTGGCTTGATTGTTAGCACTGTCACCTCTGGGTCAGTTGGCATTTCTGTGTGGACATTGCATGTTCTCCCCCTGTTGGCGTGGGTTTCCTCTGGGTACTCTGTTTTCCCCCACAGTCCAAAGACATGTGCTATAGGTGAATTGGGTAAGCTAAATTGTCCATAGTGTATGTGTGTATGTCCTGGTTGGAGGTTGAGCTTTGGGCTAACGACTTACCCATGGGTGCAAATTGCTGGTTCACTCCCACATGTCTCTGCCACAGAGATGACTGGCACCCTGGATGACATGCTTAGACTGGGTCTTCTGTCTGACTGGCTGCGGCGGATGAATGGCTGGGGCCCTCGTGCAGACACTGGCAGCCGACCCCGCTCACCCCAAGGACGAGGCAAAACATTGCTACCAGTGGAGGTCCATGCTTGAGGTGGCTTAGGTGTAGGAACGGACTGAGCCTCAAATAAGGACGATGAGGCTGGGCAAAACACTGATCGTGCATTACTAAAAACTCTTGAAGTATCCTCAGTACTATTTTCTCTGGACCATCGCTGCACTTTTGGAGAAGCAGGAGGTGATGGTGCCTTAAAGGGGTAGGTGACCCCTGTCATCGTGATGGGCGTGTGTTCTTGTTGCATTAAAGGAGTACTTGGCAGTGTACGTTGTCCAGCAGAAGGTGTAGAGGGGAGTTTACGATTTATAGGAGGACTAGATGAAGTTGAAGAAGAGGGCTGGCTTTTCAATACTGGGGGACTAGGAAGTCTCCGATGTAACAGAGGTGTGGATGGTAACACACGAGTCCTGGATATAGGTGAAGTGAGAGGGTTTTGGCTTCTACAGGCACTATTTGGCATTGTCTCATTGGTACTGTTGTCCTTTTGTTCTCCTACATCACTTCGGCAGGAAGAAGAAAGCTGCCTGTTGTCTTGCTCAGATGTATTTTTCTCCATCGGTGAGTCAGAAGAATGTCTTAAATGTATTATTTTTCTTGATTGTTTGTAAAGGGAGGCTGCCTCTTCACTTTCTGTGTCTGTTTCGTGGCTTGAATCATGGTGAGCACCCTTCACAACTTCCCTTGTATCATTCTGTGTGGAACAAACTTGTGACATGCTTACAGGACCCTTACATAAATTTCCTCTACTAGGTAGCACTGTGACAGACAGCAGAGAGGCTCGTAACTTTTGGGACATTGCAGTCTTTTTTGTAAGGGTGGATCGGCCCCTGCTTATGTTTTCACTTTTTGCATTTGTCTGTACATTTTCAAAGGAATTATCCATGATTACCTCAAGTGGAGGGGGTGGCAGATTGTCAATGTCAAGATCATCTGTCCTTTCTGAGCATTGTGACTCTCCTTGACCACAAAGTATACTATTATCAATGAATGCTGATGTGCCAGAGGGACCTAAACCTGGAATAATTGGAACACCACACTTTCTTACACCCTTAAGTGGTCCAAGAATTTTCACACTTTCTGGGACCTGCTTGCTTTCTTCTAATCCCTGACTAAAAGTATCAATCAGTTTTTGAACAGAATTCCTCTCCCTGTACAATCCCGATGATTGGCGGGGTGATGGTGGAGGACTTGGCACAGGTATTATCTTAACAGACCCTTTAACAGGTGGAGCTTTCTTGTCTTTTTCCTTTCCCTTTTCATTATCCATTTTCTCTGTACCATTCTGCGTAGTTGCTTGCTCCACTTTTGCATTGCATGCCTTCCTTTGATTACTTGGAGAGAAAATATTCCTGGTCAAAGATCGCTGCCTGTCAGTAACTGATGAAATGTTTTGTGTTTGGCATGGTAGAAATTTTTTTGAGGAACACTGCCTTTTATTTCCTTCCCCCTTAACCTTTGTCATCCTTTCCAGCTTTTGATTGAGCTCCTTTTGAGTTCTCTCAAGTTCAATGAGTGTTGGATCTTCTGCTTTATTACGAAGAGAGTCTGCTGACCTCGATCTTTTAGTAACTGTGGTCTTCTTCTTGGATGTTCTAGAGGCAGCTGTTTGGGGTCTTTTAGAACTTTTATCACCATCCTCAGCCCACTGTTGGCTACTGCTCTTTGGGCTCTCTGTCTGTTTTGCCTTTTCTCCAGGGCCTTGGGTTGGCAAAAAACGAATTCGGCCACTAATGGCATCTTTCAGCTTTAATGTCATTTCAACATTTTGTGGGTTTTCTATTCTCTTTGCTGGCAAGCGACGTGGTTGTCTAAGCTCTGAAGTAGAAGCTTCTGATTGCTTACTTCTTTTTTCATTCCATTTCACCTTTTCACTACCATTCGTGAAATCACCTTCATCCAAGGAGACAGAGCCCAGCAGTGAGTCTGTGTCCTTTTTGTCTTTTGCTGTAATCGTGCAAGTTGAGTCTAAAGAGTTTAGGGAGCTGCTGCTGCTCATCGTTTTGAGTAGTCGGCCTCGGTATGAGCCTCTCTGAATTGGTGTAAAACCACAAGGGCTACTTATTGTAGCACAAATGGTTCCAGATGACTCAGAGCTTTCTCTGCGTTGGCGTTGTCTGTCTGAACCTGCCAACGACTCACTTTCTGCCCCAAGTCCACTGTCTTCACTAAACAGTGCAGAGTCTTCCGGGCTAGGTTTTTTCTGTGAGGCTGCCTCAATCCGAGAGAGCAACCACATTAATCTAGACTCTGATGCACGTTTTGCTCTAAGCTTCTCATCTAGAATGTCAGTGATGGAAGAAAAATATTCTACCGCTTCCTCAAGTGCGGTGTCTCCAATTCCACACACCGATTGACCCACTTGACGCATCCTTTGCACGGTGTACTGAAGGAGCTGTTGTAGCAAGTCTGGTGGGGGATCACTGCAGGTAGAAGTGGTGGCATTTTTTGCATTGTATGATGATTTATTTTTTTCACACGGCCAAGCCAGATGCTCACCATTTCCTTTAAACATAGCCTCTCCCTCTTCTACTATTTCCTGCAACCCTTTGTTTATTTCCTCATAGCGTAAGACCATGAACGCCACCATAGGTTGCAAGGAAATTTGCGTTTGAGCTGCATGATCGAGTAATCCTAAAAGATCTTCATATTTAGTGATACTAGGGTTAAGATATCCATATGCTGCTTGATGTGCCTTCACAAGTTCCTCGGGAAAGTCAACCTTTTCTTGAACAAGCTTTATTTCTTTTTCTTTCCTCTTGTTTACTCTTACGCTTTTAGTGCTCTTCTTTGACTTCTTTCCTCCTTTTTTCTCACAATCCTCTCGTTTTTCTTCTTGTTTTTCCTTAGCTTGAGATAATATATTGATGTTAATTTCCTGTGTACTAAGTTTGGCAGAAGCAGCTCCATCAGCTTCACACTCAGCTGTAGAGAATTTCCTTTCGTATGGTCGAGCTGTTGAGTTGCCTCTCTCTGAGTCTCCAATGCTTCCATTATGAGACTGTGTTTCTCCTGGGCTCTCGTGAGTCCCTGGAAGTAGTGTTCTCCCCCGTGAGGGAGAGCAGCCCATTTCAGATAGATTGTAGTTCACTGGTTTTTTGCAGAATTAAAGTCCAACAAACACATGGAGGCAGACCACTCCATCTGACTCCAGGATGTTTTAGAATCAACAGGTGCACTTTGCATTTTCAGAACACTCTACCAGACACACAGTTACTCCATATTTGACTGTCTTATTTATCCTAGAAAACCACAGTAGTTACACATTGACGAAAAACCAATTTAAGTGCCAAAAAAGTCCTTTTGCATTTAGTTAGAATAAAAAAAAGAACAAAAAAAAAAATATATATATATATATATATATATATATATATTCCACCGCTGATAAAAAAAATTGTTATAGTCCTTTTGAAGCAAGCATTGTCAAGCACTCTGTGCCTTCAGGAGGACGAGCAGCTGAAGAGATTAGTGAGGATTTGAGCGTAGTCCTAAGCATGCACATATGTCACCTAGCAAATAAAACACACTGCCACAACACTTTAAGCTCATTAGGGTAATCACGGTTGTTTTCAGGTAGCTTTTTATAGCTCAGACCCGGTGTCCCTGTTTGGCTTTCTCAACATTTCTTCAAGAAAAGTAGGTCCAAAACTCCTTAAGTCCTTAAGTCCTGTATACACATTTAAATACTCCTCTTGGCCTTTTGCATCTTGTTTTAATTTTTAAATAAGCAAACTAATGTTTATTCTTCAAATATATTTTATTGTGGATACATTGTTGAGATATTACACTGTTCAGATCTTAGTAAGTGTAGTGATAATAATAACCTTCGCACAGTTCCGATGCTCTGATTCTGATAGTGTTGCATTAGCATGGTGACACAAGAACAAGAAGTGTGACACGGAAGAAGATTCAGCTATAGATGCTGATAGTCTCTCTGACGTCAATGCTAGATGGGAGTGCCGACAAATAAACTTGTTTAGGCAGACATAATCTTAATAGAGAAATAATTAAGAATTTCCGATATAATTTTTTTTTTTTTTTTTACTTTATTGGAACTTAACTTGGAAACTGCTATTTTTTAAGTTATAAATGTTATGTTTACGTTAACATTTTCACCTTTTTTATGACATTTAAAATGACTACCCCCCGCAGCTAAAATGTTTAAAAGTATTATTTTGACATACTCCTAAAATTATGTGCAACAAAATTGTCTAATTGACAGGTTTCGTGCACTGCAGCACTGCATTAATGCAAGCTCTGGATCTCCCTGTGACCTCTTCAAGCAATGAGTGGTGTCAAAATAGGACATTGTCGTTTATTGAAAAATGTACCTTCAATAATGTTTAAATTACACTAAAGCAACATTATACATCCTCAATAACATATCTGATAGTGTATTACAAGCTGCTCATATGTTTGTCCTGCGAGACACAAATGACCCTTCACTAAACCTACAATATAAAGCAGGTAAAATTAATTTCAATCCTCATCAATCCTTTTTCACAAACTTTAGGGAATGTTTAGGTTTCCCTCATCAGGTTGCAGTTGTTTAATCAGTTGGCTTGTTTTTGGCATAAGTAAAGGTTTATATTTTTAAATGCTTAAGATGAAATGTTTATTGGAAGACTACATATATAAAATTTTAAGCAGCCAATTGTGCATGTGTGTGACTAGTTTTTGTGGTCGATAAAGTTTGTTTTTTTTGTAAAAGTGGTAGTATACATATCATAATTAATTTTTCTGTTTTTAAAATGGAACACATTTTTTCATAATTTTTATAGAGTTCATTTTATATAATTAAATCATTTAAATGTCTGTGCTTCGTCTTCACGAGCATATTCCAGCTTCTTTGAGTCCTTCAAGTCCATCCTCTGTCAAAAATAACGTCAGAACAGCAGTAAAACAAAATAACCGTCGCACGTAATCTGCTCGCATTATGAATGCCCAGCGCGGGCAAAAATCCTATTGGACAACAAGAATTCAAATTTGCTGGCTGCTAGTGCTAACTGCTAAGCGAAAGTCAATGGATAATATCCCGCTGTGCAGAACCGCAAGTTAAAAAAAACAAAAAAAAAAAAAACAAACTCCAAGCCAATGTGTCACAAAATGTAGTTTTAAGAGCATTTCAGGAAAGAATGTAGTTGTTTTAAACTCGAATCGGCAGCTTTACTTCGGCCAGTCTATCTCGGATCTGCTGCTGGATTCAATCTCCCCATTGTAGTTAAAACATGATATTTAATACATTTTGTGCATATCTAACGGCCAGTTTTTGGTCGTTTCATAATTGTTTTATAAATTAATTTATTTGTGCTACCCTGTTGTACTCTGTCTTTGTTTACCAATCTGGTTATCTTTATTTGCTATTGTACACATCTACTATATACTTGTATGTCCATTGTTGTAGTTTATTAAATCTGATAATCAAAGACAGGTCTGTGCATAATAAACCATTTCACTTCACATTCAGGGGGATTTATGTTAACATTTTCTTAAATTAATTAATGGATGTGATCATTAAGTGCCTTTTCAAGCTGCATTTAGCAAGTTCAAACTCATGGGCCTTATATACAAACCCTTCATATAAAGAAAATTTCTCAATGCTTTTCTTTATAAAATATAATTCATAAAAATACATCAATATCTTTTATTCAGCATTTGCTAAACGTTCCAATATTTTTTATTTTTATTTTAAAAACCGGTCCTTTATATTATTAAATTATTTAAGAGTACTATATTATTTGTCTTTTATTTTATTTTAGGGCATCACGGTGGTGCAGTGGGTAGCAAGATCACCTCACAGCAAAAAGTTTGCTGGTTTGAGCCTTGGCTGGGTCAGTTGGCATTTCTGTGTGGAGTTTGCATGTTCTCCCCATGTTGGCGTATGTTTCCCCCACAAGTCCAAAGACATGTGGTACAGGTGAATTGGGTAAGCTAAATTTGCCGTAGTGTATGAGTGTGAATGAGTGTGTATGGGTGTTTTCCAGTGATGGGTTGCAGCTAGAAGGGCATCTGCGTAAAACGTGTGTTGGATAAGTTAGTGGTTCATTCCGCTGTGGTGACCCCAGATTAATAAAGGGAGTAAGCCGAAAAGAAAATGATTGAATGGATGATCTTATTTTGCAATAGATTCTGACTGTCGTGCAGCTCTAAATCTGCTCCCCCATATCTTTAAAGAGAAAGTTGACTGCTTACAGTAATTATACTGGGAGAGGTTTGGGTACTGAGATTGAGACATTCAGGGTTTCAAATTGGACTATTTTCGTATGCATGTGAGACCGCTAATGGAGAAGAAATGACTCTTTCCTAATGAAATACATCTTAAATGTCAATACTGCACTGGTTTCTGTGTGGCAAGTTTTTAATACTGGTGTTGTATGATTCATATTTCCATGCAAATACAGTAAGAGTTGACTTTAAATGGGGTGTTATAAACCAAGGCAGATGGACTTTCAGGCACTTGAAACATACTCTGTTTCTTAAGAATGTTTAGAAATTTTAAATCAAATGTCTAATACTGATCAAATTTGTTTTTGAGATCTAAAGTTATAAAGCGTATACGTGACATGTTCCAATTTACAGTAAAGAAAAAGATTGCTTTGAGATTCTTGATGCTTTTAGAAAATGTAGAATGCAGTGCACTAGCAAAAATGTACTTCATGAGGTCTAGTGCTGTTTTGGAAATTATACTCCGTTACATTGGTAAAAATGCTCAGTGTAATGGTACTGATGTTGAAAAAAAAATAATATGAAGCTTTTTTGCTGTTTCATAAAATGTTTTAAAATGTTTCAGCAGCTTTTTTTAAGTTTATACATTTGGTATGACATTATGATAGCTTAAAACCTTCATCCTCTGAAAAGGTAACAATATAATTGTTTTGAATCTTTCAATGTGTGTTTGTGATAAAATGTTAAAGGTATAAAGTTACAATTATTGTGCAGTTTGTAAACATGGAAAAATTTAGCTTTTTATTATTTTAAAATAATGTAAGGTTTAAGCATTCATCCTGTGGAAAATGTTGATATTTAATATGCTTAATAAATGTGATAAATTAAATTTCATGTGCTGTGTATGGAGTACAAATCTGAAATGAAAGGGTACAAAATTCATCCCTATGTAAGAGAAATTGTACCATTTTTAAAGGTACATTATTGTACCATAGCCCAAGCAAGGTACAAATTAGTCAGAAGAGGTACATATTTGACCCATTAAGGTACATACTGCTAGGGTACAAATATGTACCCATGTGAAAGGGTACAATTGGTGTACCCTTGAGGGTACTGCCCTAATGACAAGCCATTGTACCACTTAAGGTACAAATTTTGACTTTTTTTTTCTGACAGTGTATCATTTTTTAATTTAATTTAATACATCATGCTGCCAACCTCAACTTTTGGTACTTATCTGTTTATATGCTTAATTTGTAAAATGAATGCACATCATATATTGTTTATGCACATCATATACTGTTTGTTGCACAATATGAGGATTATTGTGTGGTTTATTTTTATTGTTTTAATCAATTTTGCACTTTTTCCTTTACACATTTTCTTCGTACTGCAGTTTTGATTGTTAACTGTCATTAAATCTGAAATCTAAAAAAAAAAAAAAAAAAGAAATAGAATCATTCCTTCAGCATTTATGAATATGACATTTGCCATATAAAATGTGATTCAATATGAATGTCACAGATACTCTTTTTTTTAGTTGCAAACTTTTAAAACATGTTTTAAGTACAAATTACAACTATGTATATATTTTCTTGGACATACAAAGATAAGTCTCCCCAAAACTTTACCTTGAATGTTAACGTTCAAAAAAATTTGAGTCAAAGTAGACTGAATGATAAACAAAATGAGCAATTTTCATAATTTTTGATCAAGTGTAATGATCAACAGATATTTTGACAGATTTTTAAATGCAGTTATCTACTATTATATTTTCTAAATCTAAAAAGGAACATGTAAGTATGTTATTTATTATTCTATCCAGATAATAGCCTAGGATATATACAAAACAAACATTACAGAAATAAAGTCCCTAAGCTTTAAGACTCTATTTAAATAATAATAATGATAATAATAATAATAGCTTTAAGGCTCTATTTAAATAATAATAATAATAATAATAATAATAATAATAATAATAATAATAATAATAATAATGATAATAATAATATATTTATAAATAAATTACATGTTCATAATACTAAACGAAGACATAACGAATTTAGTAGACATATACATGAGTTTTTTTTTTAATAATGCAAAATAATGTTTGACACATATTGAAACAATATTTGTATACAATACACAAAAAAAGCAATTACATACATTTTAAATGCAAACAAGACACAGAGTAAGAAATAAAAATAATAATAATAACAATAATGAACATGAATATGAACTTAAAGGACGTATAATCTACACTATATAAATTAAAGTCATTACAAAATAGCAACAACTATAGTTCTGCTATAGTTCTAGCTAAAACATAGTTCTGTTTGCTTTCTTATTTTCATAAAAAAGAAACTGTATTTAAATGGTGACCAAATTTTTGCAGGAAAATATGATTTAGTATTAGTAAATTTACATTTGTGGAGGACGTATTTTCCCATGCGCGGAGTGACGTCGGTAAC